TCGTACAAAGATGGGAACAATCGAAATGGCTTCACACGAATTTTTAGAATCGAGCATAATGCATCTAATATTTCGAAATGCTATTTTTATTTCATTAAAAATTTTTTTAGAAATTTAACAAACTCTACGATTTGAAAATGAGCAGTGGCAACACTTCTCGAAATAAAGCAGATTTTTATCTCCAGCGCGCTAGACTGTTGCCATTCGGAAAAATGAGAATGAATAAAAAAGTGGACCTGGATACTGACCCAGAAAAGAATAATAGAAACTTTGGTGACGATAGCTACAGTAGTGACTGAGTTAATCGCGAACAAACAGACACACAAACATACATTCTTCTTTATATATATAGATTATCTCCCATATTATAAAACTCAATAGTTTAACAGTGTAAAAAAATGAGATTTTAAAAACAATCTGTACATATAAATAATATTTCGCAATAAATATTTCTTTTAATTCAACAAGCCGCTTGAGCTACCATCTTTAAAAATAGTTATTATTAAAAAATACATAATGATTTTAATAAGTCCAGCTAGTAATTAATAACAATTAAGATGAATAATTGCGTTTATTGCTTTCCATCTTGACGGTATAATTGTTAGTCAGGCTGACTCCTGTACCTAATGGGCCGGGTTCAAATCTGGGATAAGGCAATGACGCACGCAAGCGTACCATCTGTGCAGCAAAAGCGCACTCAAAATATACGGCAAGTTGCAGACCTTTCGAGAGGTTAACGGTAGGGAAAGAGAGATGGTAGACCCTTGGATCATACTCTGGGATGTTCTTCCTCGAAATTCCGTCCAGACAGAAAGCTTAGCAATTAGCAGAGAAATAATATGCTTAGATGTATGCAAGGGTACCGACCTTGCTGCAACTTGTATTTACTGATTTAAATTGCTTAGTTTGTTAATCAGTAATAGACAAATAAATTTGAAACCAAAATAAAGTATTTCAGCTTTGTCCAATGATAACACATCAGCGCGGGGAAGATAAAAGTACTTTTTTTCGGCCAATGAAAACACTTTCCCCGCTATTTGTAGAATGAATTTGAAAGATATATAGCTTATACTTTCCAGAGTGGCAAAACATTGCTTTAAATCTCTGAGTTCGTTAATCAAACTTTCATAAAGTTCTCACAAAATTTAAAACATTAGTGTGCGCCCATAGAATAAGCTTACAAACTAAAAGTTCAAACACTAAAATAAAAAAGTGAAAGTATAAGTACATGTTTAGAAAGAGTGATAACTTAACAGTTGTTAAAGCCATTTTAAACTGATTGTTTTGTCGTCTGCACATCAAAACGCTAGAGTCATTTTCATTTACTGAAAAAGACATTGCCCAAAAAATTGTGCTTCGAAGTGGAACAACATTACAAAATTAAATTTTGCTACAAATTAGGTAAATCTGTTAACAAATTATTTGAGATGATTCGAACATGGTGTGTGGTGTATGATGATGCATCGTTAAGAACAGAAGCGGTACAACCGATTTAAACATGTGTACAAAGGCATTGAAGATGAATCAAAGATAGAGCGCACTTCGACCTCAATGAATGAGAGAAATGTAGAGAAAATTCGTCCGTTAGTAAAAACCGTTAGACGTATCACAACCATGGACCTTATAAGAGATTGACTAACCCAGTGGGCGAGGTGCGCGTCACCAACATGTCCGCAAGAAGGAGTAGGGATGATCTGGTTTATTTTAACACGGAAACCTATGGCGTTTGTATAACATAACTGTTTTTAATTATTAAATGTGATACGTTGTATAGTGATGAGATTATGAATGTCACAATTTTTTTTTTCAAATAGGATTTAATATACCTCATTAAAGCACTTTTTACTGCATTTCGCGCATTTTTTTCACGCCTAATTCTTGTACAAACATCTTTACTTTGGTGACACGGTAAAAACTCTAAGCACAAAATTTATGAACTTAATTTTGCATAAAAATAAAATAAAATTAAATAAGATTGATGGTACGTGATGCTTTGAAATAAATAAGGTAAAATTAAACAAGTTCTGATATTTTTTTTTAAAATTTAATAAACTGAAGATGTTCATTAAATTTTTTAAAGAATTATTTGATTTTCAAAACTATAATGACATTACAAAACGATTATTTATTTATTTATATCATCATTAAATTGTTAACATTAAAGTGCATTATTTATTTTAGTAATTTATAAAATTCGGAGTATTTTATAAATATTATAATTTTATAAATTTTCGGAGAGGAAAAATTGAAGGAAAAAAAGAAGGTAAAATGAAATCTAGAAGCACTTAGATTTTATATTACGCCCAAAAAGAACCTTTTTTTAACGTTTTGTGTGTTACCTATATTTGTTGAATATCATGTTCTTCGCCCGTAAACCACATATGTTTAAAAACAGCATATATTTAGAATTTCCGCACTGGAGATAAAAATGTTATTTTCCGTACAGTGTTACTATTGCTCGCTTTGAACTCGTTGAGTTTGTTAATCAGAAATTTGTTAAAGTTTTACAAAATATGAAATAGATTAAACAAATTCGAAATTCGGCCGTCCAGATGCCCATGCTCCGGTGGAGGATTACATTATTCAAAATTTGATGCCATTAGATATCATCGTTTTTGTCATAGTGCGAGAAACATACATGTATTGATGCAGATTTTTCATTATTTAATTTCTTTAAATATAATACAAGACGATAATATTTGGTAACAACAATTTTCAAGGAGACACGGACATTTATAGTGAAACAGCGCAAAATGCCACTTCGAGTTAATAAATTAAATTAACAGTAAATAAAAAAAAATCTTATGCAGAACTAAAAGACAAGCAAAATTAATTATTACGGTTAAATACAATTTTTATACATTTCATTCTTTTTTTATGAAATGATTCTTTTTTATGACATTAATTCTTTTTTTTTTAATGAAAAATAGTTGAAATAAAATTCCTTTATAGAAATTATGCTATAATACTCATCTATAATTTAAAAAAAGTAGCACAATTTAGAATTTTAAACAAAACTTTCAAAAGTTTGTTTTTAAATATTTTAGAATTTTTTACTTATTGACACCAATAAAAAGCATAAAAATTGCAAAAGAAAATTGCTTCTTTGAAATTTTCTATTAGTTCAGATTTAAAATATTATTTTCTAAAAGAAGTAGTTACAAATTTCCTTACAGCATAGGAAAAGCTAAAAAAATATCCAGCCCTGTAAGCATGGAAGAGCTTTATAATTATTTGGAACGCTAATTATGCTTGATAAATATGCTAAATTTTTAAAAATCAATCTCAGTTTCAAGAATAAAAATATGGAGAAATTCTAATTTGTGAAATGAGGTGCTACAACCAGCTTTTTCTTGACAATATACACGCTGCTATAGGCAACCACTGTTAAATTTCTGCAAGTCGTCCCTACTCCTCCGGTTCTGATCAAGGTGACAGCCGGGAACGCGTCAGACGAGGGAGAAAACCCATTTGGGTTGGTCTATTTCTTATAAGGTCCATGGTCATAACTCAGCAACTTTCAGACATGCCTAGGATTCGCAAAGATACCTGAAGGTTGACTGTAATTGAAAAATATAAAAGGAGAAAAAATTGCGCTCAATATGTGCTTTGGATTTTGACAGAATAAAAAAAGATGATAAAGCTTGCTGGGACTTTTTTTTTACTACTGCGAGATAGAATAACAATTTCTTAAAGTGTATCATATCAGGAAATGTCACCTGGTGTCAACAATTCGACTTGGAAACAAGAAGGTAAAGTGCACAATGGAAAAGACCGTCTTTAAGAAACAGGTCTTCAAGAATAAGTCGAGTTAGGAAGAAAATTTTTGATTCTTGGCAATGAATGGTTTCTTTTACACGATAATGCTAGGTCCCATATACAACATTGTCTATACAAAAATATCTTGCTAAGAATGGTTATTAACCTCTTTTTTTTTTTTTTTTTTTTAATTCCTTTTACTCCTTCCATCACTACTAGAAGGTAATTCTCCCTCCTCTCTAAAACTTGAAAAATGCATATATACGTTTACTTAGATTTACATTATTTTTTTAACAGGTTATATAAAATAAACAAGAAAAAGTGCAGAAAATGCTGATAAATAACAAAATATTGCGGATGATATGCGTTCAACCTTTTATTTAACTGGTTAAGTATTTTATTTTAGTTTATGAATTTTTTATATTCATAAACTAAAATGAAACACTTACCAGCTGAATAAAAGGGTTACTGCATATAACCTGAAAATCCGGAATTCCTCATTGGTTGAGAACATCTGGTATAAAGAATGTATTTCAAATTATTACCAATGTAAAATTTTGAACAATTTAGGCGTCCAAGTTGAACAAATCCTCTTACATTTACATTCCTTTTCTTTTAAAACAAAGTGTATCTAACAGTTATATCTAGTAAAGACACCAGTGTATCTAGTAAGATGCAAATATGTTCACATGGCCTCCTGCCTTTACTAAGATTTTAATAACATAACTCGTTTCTACCTCTACGAATTTCATATCTATTACACTTTGGTGTGTTATATATTCCTAAACCCGAAGTATATAGATCGGTTATGGTTCACTGTCATAAATTTCGAAGAGTTGGCACAAAACTCATGCTGCTGAATACCTTAAGGTCGGAAACTTTCTTGTCGGCGATAGGAACAAAGATGCAGTGCCCCCTTTCAGCATTCATATGAAAATATGATGTAGTATTCAAATGTTAGTTAAATAATACGGTAGGAAACACAGTTTTATTAAAAAATAGTTGCCTTAATACCTGACTAGAAATTTATCTTTAATAGATATGGAATATCTATGAAGGCAAGATTGATAACGCAGCTGTTCTTTTTTTAAGATATGTAACCTAAATCAAAATTCTTTGATTCTAGAATGTAAGGAGACATCAATATGGCACTACTGGAGATTAAATGTATCAGTCTTTCAGCATAAAATTCAGTGCTTTCCTCAATTCCATTTTTTAACATTACTTCATTTTTTCTTTAGGACCCACTCAGATAGCTGGACGTTCATCCGACGACAGAAGTTCAGAGAGAAGACGCCGTCAGGAAGAAGAGGAAGAAGAAGAAAAGAGAAGACGGACAAGGACCAACTTCAATGGGTGGCAACTCGAAGAACTGGAAAAAGCCTTCGAAGCCTCCCACTATCCAGATGTGTTCATGAGGGAAGCTTTGGCTTCTAGGCTGGATCTAGTCGAATCTCGTGTTCAGGTGGGCAAATTTACCAGTTCTGGTTATAATTTTATTTTAGTACACTTTGCAGTTTGTGATAATTAAAAGTTTTAAGACTTGAGATTTAAAATCTTCGCTTAGTCTTCTTATACTGTGAAAAAACAGCGGTATCTAGAGACATCAAATTTTAAATAACATAGTCTACCATTCGAATATGGGCATCTGGAAACGAAAATTTGGAATATGTTTTATTATCTATTTCATATTTTGTCAAACATTAAAGAAGTTTTGATTAAGAAACTCAACGATTTCAAAGCGAGCAATGGCAACACTGTACGGAAAAAAAAAAAAAATCTTCAGCACGCGAGACTGTGTATCGAAAATTCTAAAGATATGCTCTTTTAATATTTTGTGATATTGCTGTTGAATTGAATTTTATGGATGAAGTGTGAAGAATATGATATTTAATAAATAAAGGTAACACATAAAACATTAAAAAAAGGCCCCTTTGGATGTAATATAAAATGTGAAAGCTTTTAAACACTTTTGTTATTATTTACCTTTTTCTTAAAAATTTATTTTCATTTTAAAATGATATCGTTCTTACTGATATTTCGTTCTTACTGAATACCCTCTGTATTCAAAATAGTATATAAATTTTAAGCTTCTGTGAGATATATTTAACACTTTGTACAAATTAATATCTTACACAAACGTTTTCAGATACAAAATTAATATTTTCTTTTGGGCTCTAAATGTTTCCTACCCCCACTGGATATAATTACTAACTTTTTTAATACAAGTAATTTGTAAAATGGAAAAAGACATTATAAGTTTTAGATTAATTTGAATGAAGAATAATACAGTAATTTGAAAAACAAACCTGTCTTTATTTTTAACCCTACAAACTTTTGAGATTTTTTTCGTTGAGATTCCCCCAGGACCCCATAAAATTTACAAAAATTTTGTGGGACCCCATAAGTATTGCGCAAATGCGACACACGCGTGAGTGAAACTGTCAATTTTTCCACTTGTACTGTAATATACTATTGCAATTTTAGGTCATTAAATTTAATTTCTAGACTTTAATAATTAAGACGTAGAACAATGTGAAAATTTTAAACAAGCAACAGACGAAATGACAGCGTAAGTGCAAAGCAAGGAAAATGAACATTTTTATTATAAAAAGAACGCGTTGAAACGTTTTCGTTTTTTTCTTTGTCTGTGTTGTCTTATCTCTATCTATTTTCAGATACAATGTGTAAAAATATTTGGTAGTTGTAAAATTATTATAATAACGTAAAGAAATATCAAAACTGATAAAATTTTTGGCGACCCCCTGCTGCAGGTCCCGCGACGATCTACAGTTTAAAAAACCATGCACTAGACTTGCGAAATTTAACTTGCGTTCTCCATGTTTCGAAAGCGCGACTTAGGATATATATATATATTAGATAAGACTGTAGGATATATATTAGGTTTATATATAGCACTGCTCTAACACAGGAAACATAGATATTTTGTCACAAAATCGGACTTTTTCTCAAATAACATACAAATTGTTTTCCATATTTCGATTTTATGATTCAAATTACGCCAAAATGTCAAGTTTTCTTAATATCGCACAAGAAGTTTTTAAAAAAAATTAGCTCTCAAAATTTTAGCTCTTCCATGTTGATTGAAATCATTATATATTTATTAATATCACTTTTCTTCGAAATTTAGGTTAATTTCAAATAAAATTCGCCCATTTTTTATGATTTATTTTTTATTTTGTATTTCTGAATAATTTTTATAAATTTTTCGCAAAACATTTTGAGTCATAACCCATAAAATGTTTACCATCATTTTGAAGTAGATGTATTTCGAGGCATACCTGCAAAAAATTAGAGCTTTTTATTCAAAATTTCCTCAGATGTACGTGAATTTACATATTGTCGAATTTTGAAATTTGGCATATTTGTTATAAGCGACAATTACGTCAAACGTGGTTTACGCACATCTTAAGAATATTTAAAAGTATGAACGATGACCTTTTTGCCGCTCCTGTGCAATAAAAAAAAGGAAAGGAAAATAGATTTCTATAAATTAAGAAGTTCGCCAAATGAATTACTCTTAACGCAAACTGAAAAAAAATGCGCCAAGAAAAATTTTAAATTTCTACATAAATTTCTCACCAAAAATTTCAAAATTTAATATTTAGGTATAATTTGAGTCATAGAATAGAAATATGGAAAACATTGGTATGTTTTTTCAGAAAAAGTCCGAATTTGTGTCAAAATACCTAAATTAGAATAATGGCTATAAATAAAATCTAATATATATCCTAAGTCGCGCCTTCGAGGCATTGAAAACTCAAGTTGAATTTCCCCAATCGGTCAGTAGAAAGGGGAGATATAGAACTGTCCTTTTTAATCCAAAGGAACAATTTGCCCAGAAGGACTATTAATTTCGTTTAAGCATTTTGCGTTGATCCACCAAAAGCGTTGTTTCACTTTTCAAATTGTTGCCACCAAAATTATCGCCCTGTATTATATTTAAATAAATTAAATAATGAATAATCTGCATAAATGTATGTATGTTTCTCGCATTGTGATAAAACAACGGTACCTAGAGCCATCCAATTTTGAATAACGTATGTCTCCACCCGAATATGGGCATCTGGAAGCTCTAATTTGGAATTTGTTTTGTTATCTATTCATATTTTTGTTAGACATTAAAGAGAATTTTTGATTAACAAACTCAACGATTTTAAAGCGATGAATGGCAGCACTGTACGGAAATAAAAACATTTTTATCTCCAGCGTGCGAGACTGTGTATCGAAAATTCTAAAAGAGATGTTCATTTTAAAATTATTTTGCGATATTGCTCTATAACTGAATTTTATGGTCTAAGTGCGAAGAACATGATATTTAATAAGTAACACACAAAATGTTTAAAAAAAAAAAAAAAAGGCCTCTTTGGACATAATATAAAATCCGAAACCTTTCAGATTTTTTTTTAAATTTATTTATTTATTTATATATTTTGTGAAAGGTGTACATTCGTTAATAGTGCTCTCTACTGAAGAATTTAGGTATGTAAACAATTCTGCGTATTGCCAATGCATTTATTCTTTCTACTGTCTCAACATCCATTATTTGTTCTAGAATTAGAATCGGAAAGGCAGTGAATCGCAGAAAAGGAAATTATTTGCATTTACTTTATAACATTAGCGATAAGTACATGATTCACGATACGAAAGTTATTTACAATTTTTATACACAAAACTTTATTAAAAATATTTGACTAATGATTTCCAAAAAGAAATGTTGTAGCACGATTTCTGTTTTAAGTAATCATTATCCTTCAACATTATCTTTTGTTAATACGGTAAAGCTGCTTTTTTTGGCTGTTTTATTTTCGTAGTTCGGTATTAAATATTTAAAAAAGATACGATTGTGATTAAACTGTTGAACAGCGCTAAACCCTTATATGTTAACTTATATCTTATATGTTAACTCCTTATAACTTATCAGGTGCAGAGATGATAGAAAAATACATTGTGATTGCATACAGTAGTACATCATAGATTCCATTTTCATATTTCGTGACTAGCAACTAAAGGTTAGCATTTGGCTACTTCCATTACACTCAGATACGAGCCATACTACTTCAATAAATAAATATGTGTACTTTTAGAAAAAGAAAGACTTCTCTCTCCCCCTAACCGTAAATATCTGATCCCTTCTGAATCGAATAGAGGGGAGGATGTTAGGGGATGACTCGAGGAGGCAGAGAGAGATCTTTTTACGGAAAAGGTGTCTCTTTGTCAATAATAGGTTTCGCAAACCTAACATCAACTGTAATATCAGCCTATCGTCGGAGGTCAGGGACCATGCTTAAAATGCAATACTGTCTCGGTGCAACGCGAGGTTTGGGACAAGAATTAATTTTTGATTTTATGACTTCGTGCCAATGGTCTCAGACTCAATTGCACTCGGAGCCAAACGCATGATCTGAGAGCAATTGACGAGCCAGAACATTCTTTTTTAACAAAATTTAAAAATAATTTTTAACAACATAAATATGTAAATTAAATTTTTAATTTCACTTACTGAATATTTATCAAAACACACATGAACAATGAGAGTATCAAAGAAATAATTTCTTTTTTACGTTTTGGTTTCTATCTATAGTCTTAAGGATGGTACCTGCAAGAAATTTCTATTGGTTATATTTTGTAATTCAAACGTATCGACAGCTAAATATTTAATGTTCAGACTGACATTTATTTCATATAATTCCAGCATGTTAAACAGAACTTACTTTTAACCTTAACTGAAATACCAGAAATTTCAGAATACTGAAGCCCCACCAGCTGTTGGCTAGCAAAAGTGGCAACAATCTCGCACGTTGGAGATGAAAATCTGCTTTATTTCCAAAGTTGTTGCCACTGGTCGTTTTCCAATCCTAGAGTTTGTTAATAAAAATTTCTAAGGTTTACGATGAAATAAAAATAGCATTGCCAAGCATTAAATACATTATTAATGATTCCAAAAATTCGTGGGAAGCCATTTCGACTAGTCCCATCTTCGTGCACTTTAATCAGCCAAAATATTAATTAAAAACTGTAAAAATGGTAATTTTCACACTCATTTTTCTGAGTGGAATCAGTCTCGCGCTTTGAAGAATTGAAGTGCTTTATTTTTAAAAATGTTGCCACCGCTCACTTTCAAATTGTAGAGTTTATTAATCAAAAATTTGTAAGTTTTATAAAAGCTAAACATGTAAAGAAGAATGTCTGTTTGTTTGGTCGCATTATTGAGTTCTGATGAATTATGATAAATTTTTTGGCACATTTAATCGACTAAAATTGAATAGAGATGAAATATTGGATAGAACTTGAGCTTTTACGACCATTTGATTAAAAAAACGAAAAACATTAAAAACTGCGTGCCATTGTTGCTGATATAATGAGAGAGAGAATTGACTTATTTTTATATCAAAACTTTTTATGTGGATTCCATATCGCATCAGACTGAAAAATGTCTGACTA